GTTTGAATATTAACAGAGGCCAAGACAAACATCAATTCACATAAACAGCTCAATATATTTGATAACCTCTCCAACACTAGCTCTGGTCTGCGCAAACCATTTATCCTGTTTATGGATTACGCTTAAGCACTTGTGGAACTTTCTGAAATTAATCTTCTTGTAATACTCCGAAGAGAGATTCATGTCGTCCAGCAACTTTTCCAGTACTTCCGCGCAATTAAGCTCCCAATTAAAAGCTCCACCGGCATAAATGATGGATTCCATCGCCAGAGCAGCGATTCTGTCAATGTTCAGATTTTCAGTATTTCCGATAAATCTACGGACATCAAGCCAGATGCTTTTGAATATCTGCTTGTTTGGAGGAGTGCGGTTTTTGAGATGGTTCTCTAAGTTCTTCAGTGAGAGCCTGACGATTTTCTTGGCATTGAGGTGTCCATCATCCATAGTAAAACTGTAATTTCATATTTTAAGTTATTTGGAAGCTTTTCACTTACCAAGCGAAAATTTCGACACAAGAGTTCACCGCCTTCACTACTTTCCTATCGAATTTGAATGTATGAAGCAATAACTCCACTTCATTTAAACCGGCGGTTATTTGGTCCGGTGTACAAAAACTAATTTTTCGAACACCAAAATTTCTACGCATTTCCCATAAGTTTTGGATGGCATCAAGGGTTTCTTCTCGTTTCCCAGTGGTTCGGAAATATCCCAACGACTTTATGATAGCGTTTAGATTCGTATTGGTGTAAACTGCGACGGTTGGTGGTGCAACGTTTTCGTTTATTCTGGTATCTGAAAGCATGATTTGAAAGTTAAGCGCACAAAATGAATACTTCACATTTTCCATCAAAAACTACCGTATACGCGTACTTACCATTTGCCACCACAACTTGCAACTTCGGGAGTTTCAGCAGTATTTTTTTCAGTAATCGGTCGTCAGCATCTCTCCATTTAATTTCCAAATGCGTCAATTCTGGAAGACGTTTTGCAAAGTAGTAGTCGTATTTGAAACCAACGCGTCTGAAACGTGAACGTGTTTTATACATACTTCATACCCTGACCACTTACGAGTTGTGAGATAAACTAAGCGTTTTCAGATTCTTCAACTTGAAAAGCTCTTCAACATCTTTTTTGTTCAGGAATTGAGAAGAATCGATAGCCAGATGTTTGAGATTTTTCAATTTTGAAATTCCATTCAAGTTTTCGAGGTTAAAATGACCGAAATGGAGGGTGTGTAAGTTTGGAAGATTGTTACACAAAATTGCAAAGTCCTCTTCGCAAAACTTTCGGCCGCTGATATTCAGTACCTCTAGTTTTGGAAACATGAGAGACACCTGAAATATACAGACTTTCTTGTGGGTTTAGCTTAATAGGGACATATGACATTAAACGTTCAGTTAGGGAAGGGCGACGCTGCTTACAAGGGAGTTCATTTCAAAAACCGTTTGAGAATTTTCTGAAAATTTGTGGGTCAACACTATCAAGCACGCTGAAAACGAATCTAAAATCCATTTTCGCAAACTCGTCTGGTTTTTTTATTCTCTGGTGAAATTGGTACTGAAAATGATCATCGGGACCCATTATGGCAAAAACTGAAGGAGTTTTGTGAAAACGAGTTTCAGATTCGTTTTCAGCGTGCTTGATAGTGTTGACCTACAAATTTTGAGAAAATTCTCAACCGGTCTGTAAAAGGACCTCGCTTGTTAGCTAAAGACAAATTATACAAGAAGATCAAACTCTATGGATTCTGGTAGGGCGATTTCTTATCTATCCAGCTGTGTCGTTCACTAAATAAAAGTTCAATGTGATCGCCTTCAGTGCAACAGAAATCTCAAGCTACTATCTCATTGTGAACTTTCAGTTACTGTATTACAGTATCCGAATTGTTTCGGCAAAATAGCTGTCAATACAAAAAAAAACTGACCACTTCCATCCATTTGTCCTCAAAAGACCCGTATCCCGAAATATCCAGTACACGCAACTCTCTCTTCGATGCCTCGCTCAAAATATCTCCCAGAAAACGAACAATGGAGAAATGCTCCGGCATGTCACAGTAACTCATCTGGAAATTGAAATAGTTACAAAACGTCTCGAAATTATGAATCTTACCGGTTCACCATCTGAGTCAACATCATCATCATCGTCTAACTCATCCATCGAAGCTCTTGGTGCTTGTCCACGTGCAGGATGACAAGCAAGCCGTTTTCCTCTCTGTGGCGGGCCAGCAACTCTGACTCTGTACTTTGAAATTTCAGTGAAACCTCGGATTTTCAATTCAGTCAATTTCAGTTTTCGGGTCTCGGAAAATGTTGCTTGTTGACAGTCGTTCAGGTCCAATTCCAGTTTTGATGGTTTGAGCTCTTTTATTAAGGCTTTGGTATGAGCATCGTAGCAGTATTTACGGTTTCTCATAACAGTTTCGAATATTTGATCACTAACTATTGAGCCAGGCGGGATCACTTTAGATTGAAAAAGGCCTGAAACGAGTTTTTAGTAAAGGAAAGATGCATTAGAAACTCACCAGATGTATAACAATCGATAACAACTTCAAACGCCAAATCGTAGAGTTTCGGGGGACCAACCATTCTAGAAGACGTCAGGATCGATAGAAATTGAAAGGGTTCGCAGGGATAACGACCAGGACGAATGAATAGAATGATGGTCTGAGACTGACTCTCTGAACAGGAAGAGAGAGCAAGAGAGCACAGATAGTTAGAGATTTACGATCGTGGTGAGACCTCTATGGACACCTGTTTGGTGTACAGTAGATAGAGGGGAATTTTTGGAGGTTTAGAGAAAATTCTAGAAGGTTCTAGGTGGGTGACAGACGAGATCTTAGATAAGAAGGTATTGATTAATTTTTCTCCAGCACCAGAACCAAATGCAACTAGTCGTTGGGGTGTCGAATCGATTTTGAGTTTTTCTCGTATTTTCGAGTAAAACACAGATATTTCAAACAAATGTATCAGAATTCAAACTAGTATAGCACTACAGAGAAAAAATAATGCTTTCTCAGTAGATGAACATGAAGTCCTTCACGATGTCAGATTGAAAATCTATACAACACCAGTATTTTCAAATGAACACGTTGGAAAAAATGTTTAAAAATGCGTCCCACGTAAAAATCAAATTCATTTCTCAAAAAAACCAAAGCCAATTCACAAAATGAGTAATCTGGTTGTAGATCAAAAAGTTCTTCCGGATATATCGAAACCCAAATGGGATCAGGGAACTTATGCAGGTAAATTGTCATGATATCTGTCAAGATCTTCTGGGGATGAAACCAATTAGAAGTATCTAGAATGCCAACCCTCCAACAATATTAGAAAACCTGCGAATACCACGGTTGGGATTGCATTTCTATATGATTGCCATGCAGTTCCATTCCAGGTCATTTCTTACCCAATTACAGGCCGCGCCAAACACTTCTTCTCCTCTACGAACCCTCTGACCCTCTTCTCATCTCGTGTTCAACAAGAAAAGTGTCGAGAAATTGTTACAAATTACAAGAAAGGAGTAATTAGTCCCTCTTTAACAGTTGATGAGTTATGGAGAGCAAAGACGTTGTATGACTCCACTTATCATCCGGATACAGGAGAGAAGATGTTCTTTTTGGGAAGGATGAGCGCGCAGGTATGTGGAGACTTCGGATCAATTTCTTCTATCTGATTCAGATGCCCGGAAACATGGTGATCACCGGAATGCTCCTAAGCCTCTACCGCACATTCCCTGGAGTAGTATTCTCTCATTGGATCAATCAATCATTCAACGCCGTTGTCAATTACACGAATAGAAGTGGGAATAGTAAGGCGACTAACGAGAGGCTCTTTGTGTCTTACTGTTGTGCGACCGGTGGTGCAATGACGGCGGCTCTAGGGTTGAATAAGATGGTCAAGGTGGGCTCACAAAAAAAGTCCTCTAGAACTGCAAAATTGTATTTTTCTTCAGAACAGTCACGGCCTGGCTGCTCGTCTAGTCCCATTTGCGGCTATAGCATTGGCTAATGCAATAAATATTCCGATGATGAGGAGCAAGTATGTGGAAATTACCGTTAGAGCACCTTTACATAAATTTTTTTCCAGTGAAGTTACGGAGGGCATGGAATTGAAAGATGAAAACGATCAACTGGTTGGGAAATCCAGGAAAATGGCAGTTCTCTCGATTGCTCAGGTCACTTTGAGCAGGATTGCAATGGCTATGCCATATATGGGTACTCCGCCTACCGTATCCCACACTCTATCACCAAAATTTTTTCCAGTCATCACCCCCATCATCATGAATCGAATCACCCAAACCGCCTACTACCGTACCCGTCCATGGATGCAAAAGTATTCGGAAATCCCGATTCAAACCTTCCTGGCAGGCCTCGGACTCTACTTCACCACCCCACTTTGTTGTGCTCTCTTCCCACAAAAAAGTTGTGTTGAGGTTTCGAAACTCGAGGAGAATGTTCAAAAAGAAATACTTTCACGTCCAAATCCACCGAAACTAGTCTATTATAACAAAGGTCTGTGATGGGATGCCACGTGGAATGATGACAAAAAGAAATCCATGAGAATAAAATTATTTCATTTCCATTATTTATCATTAGTTCTCTTTTTCATAAGAATGAGTGATCTGGTCATCAATCAAAAGACACGACCTGATATATCGAAACCACAATGGGATCAAAGGACGTATTACGGTAGTCTTTGTTAAGCTCTGATCCTCTTCCAATCTATAAGTTCAGGACGTGTTCGTCACTTCTTCACTCTTACTAACCCACTCACCCTATTCTCTTCGGAAGCCCGTCAGGAGCAGTGTCGTCAGATTGTCATCGATTATAGGAACGGAAAAGTTAGCCCAGAGTTGACAGTGCACGAGTTATGGAAGGCGAAGAGGTTGTATGATTCCACGTATCATCCGGATTCCGGGGAGAAGATGTTCTTTTTGGGGAGGATGAGTGCTCAGGTAACGTTTCATAGTTAGTCTCCACCATCAGAAAAAAAAACAAAAAAAATTGACCCCAGCGGAGTTTGAACCCGCAATGAAAATTTCAAAAACAACAGCGCTAACCGCTACACCACGTACACAATATTGCGACCTCTCTTCTCTCCACTCCCAATCCTTACAGCCGTCACAGCAACAATCTTTTCAGATGCCCGGAAACATGCTCATCAACGGAATGCTCCTGAGCCTCTACCGCACATTCCCTGGAGTTGTATTCTCACATTGGATCAATCAATCATTCAACGCCGTTGTCAATTACACGAATAGAAGTGGAAATAGTAAGGCCAGCAACGAACGTCTTCTACTCTCTTATTTGTGTGCAACCGGTGGTGCAATGTCGGCGGCGTTGGCGTTGAATGCGATGGTTAAGGTTACATTGATAGTTTCTAGTTAAGAAAATCGATATTTGGAGTTTCAGAACAAAAACAGTGTGGCCGCTCGTTTAGTCCCTTTCGCCGCAGTGGCAATGGCAAATTGCATCAATATTCCAATGATTCGGAGCAAGTGAGTTGGCTTTTTAGGGCTTTCATGTTTCCAAAACTTTATTTTAGTGAAGTAACCGAGGGCCTAGAACTACGAGATGAAAACGGCGAATTGGTCGGTAGATCCCGTCAAATGGCGATCCTCTCCATTGCTCAGGTGACATTGAGTCGGATTGGAATGGCCATGCCGGATATGGGTAGGTTTTTTTTTATTTATGAATCTGAAACTTGAAAAGCCAGAGGTGACAAAATATATTGCTGTATGACCTAAATGAGCCCTGGGAGTTCAAATACAGGGAAATCTCCGAAAAAATACATGTATTCTTCGAAAATTAGTAGTTAGACACCAACTTCTGATAAACTCAAATTCATCCTTTGATCTCAACAAAAAAAGGAAACCCTCTTCCTATTTCTATGAACAAATTTTTTTTGAGTGTTTGATCTTCCAGATATACTTTTTTCTTTTTGAAATCGCTATTAAAAATTGGCTTCTTGACTGCTTTTTAGAAAACATGGAGGTCAAGAAAAGTGAATGACGGGGTACTGCTCTTCTCCCACGTAAGGGGGATTTAGAAAACTTGTTTTTAGTAATTTGCTACCGTAATCTGGAATTGTCTTTGAAACATATGACCTGTAACACAGATCCTTCTGTATTACATTTTTCGAATAAAATATAGCTAACCCGATACCTCTAATACAAATGTCCCATATGTCCGGAGCCGTTCCACCCAAAGTTATAATTTTCCAGTCATGACCCCGATCATCATGAACCGAATCACTCGAACCGCCTACTACCGTACCCGTCCGTGGATGCAAAAGTACTCTGAATACCCGATTCAGACGATGCTCGCCGGAATGGCTCTCTTCTTCACCACTCCAATGTGTTGTGCACTCTTTCCACAGAAAACTGCCATTGAGGTTGGGTAACATACCTGAAAAATTTACTGGATTTTTAAATTGCAGGTAACAAAACTGGAAGCACCTGTCCAAAAGGAAATATTCTCCAGAGCTGATGCGCCGGAAGTGGTGTTTTACAATAAGGGCTTGTAGAGTTTTTGACTAAACAAATGATGAATAAAACGTTCTATGCTGTAATTTTCTGTGGTCAATTTTTCTGGAAAATCTTGTATTAAAAAAGTTCTCCACAGACAGAAAATAGATCTTCGGACAAATAAAGCTCATTTTTCTCTCAAAGAGAGCATTCCTAAAAACAAAAAAAAGCAACGAAGCCACTTTTGTGTTCGGTAGAGAGAAGAGGACGTTAAAGGTTTTCCAGTGAATGCGGAACAAGAAAACTGTCTTCTTTTACTATCGTCACTTTGGAATTAATATTCAAAACACACTGATTTCTGTCTAATGAATTGAAAAAAATAAGAATTATTATCACTTCCTTTTTGCTGAAATCACTTTCGCAAAATGGATGTTATCTGGAAGGTTCTTTCACTTTTTATATTATTTTATGAAGTTGATGGACAACTCATTTCTACTTACAATGGCACAGCAAACTCGACAGCAGGTTCCAGGAGAACGGTAATTTTTCTATCCTTAATAGAGTTGCATCTGAGGTTTTATCGGGATTCTAGATAAAAGTTGGGATCGCTGCTGCTCAACAAATCCAGACGGGCTCCATTGGGTGGTCAGTGTGCGGTGGTGCGGTCCCACTGGCAATTGAAAAGCTGAAACAGGCGGGATATGCAAAGAATTTTGATTTTGAGTGAGTTTATTTTTTGCAAAAATGAGTAATGAAGCTACAGTAGTCTTTATAAAAGTAAAATGTTCTTCAGAAATCATTATTTCCTTTTCCAGATACATCGTCGACTATACTGAATGCGATCTTGGTAGTGTAGTCCGCGCTGGATTGAAATTCATCAAAGAGCTCAACGTGGATGTGATAATTGGTCCTCCATGTGCTCAAGCACTCCGAACAATGTCCCTACTTGCATCAATCTACCGGAAGCCTGTACTCGGTTGGGGATTTGTCAGTGAATCGGATTTATCTGATGTGGATAGGTTTCCATACTTGACAACAGTGCTACCCAATTCGCAAATGTTAGTGAACTAATTTTTTTTGAAAATTGGAATTCTAGTTCAAAATTTTGTGTGTTCAGGTTAGGCTTCGCCGCCGCCAAAATGTTACAGCAGTACCGTTGGGGAAGGATTGCAATGTTGTATTATCAGAGTGACCTGGATTACTGCTCCAAAGTGATGGATGATGTAGAAGCCACGTTTAATGATCAGGATACACCTGTGAATATTGTGATTAAAGCGGAGATGTATTTGAATGATGATGAGACAACTGATATAGTGTTGCAATCGGTGAAGAGTAGGGCAAGGAGTGAGTTTTTTTTTTTTCAAAAAAATCCAAATCTAGAACTACTGTTGCTCATCTTGAAGGGGTGAGAGTCTTGGAAAATGGGTAGCTGGTAGATTGCCCTTTGCTTGCTAGTAGGGGGAGCTAGTAGGGGGCAAGCAATTTGCCGTTCATCAGCCGCAAGCTAGTGAACTTGCCCAGCAACTTGCCAAAGGTAGAGGAGATAATGATCCTGGCTTTAGAAGGCAATATGAGTTTCAAGGCAGCGTAGCGCATTTGGCAGACGGTCCCGGTTTCAGAACTTTTTGATTTCCACCATTCTTCATACCCCATTTACAGTAATCCTCTGGTGCTCCCAAACTGTTCAGGAAAAACGTGACTACCTTATCAAGATGTCCCAACATGACATGATCACTATTGAATACGTCCATATAATGCTGTCAATGAGGAACATTGCATTTGGTGTTCAAACGGTGCTTGGGAAGAATCTTTGTGAGTATCCTCAAATCTTCTGGAATCAACTTCTGATTCCAAATTTCTAGTCACACAATCCGGCCTGACTCCTATTTGGGAATCGTTCAGTGAGGGGACCGATGGAATGGAGGAGGTTGTGAAACAGGCGGCGACTAGGATGCTTGTGGTAATCTCCAGAATTTTGAAATAGAAGCAATTTTAAGAAAAAATTGCAGCTCGACGTAAACAGCGAAGTGACTGACAAAAGCTATCTACAATATATGCAGAAAAATATCATCAAAGCAGTCAGGTCACCACCGATGAATTGTTCTACAGTGGACTGTTTGAACGCTAATAATACAGTAATCTAGGACGAACTGGGCCTTCGAGAGTACTGTATTTCCAGATAATGGGTGCATACGCTCGTCACCTGTTCGATGTGGTCTACCTATATGGAAAGGCGTTGACCATGACAAATTCCACAGATCCAGCAGTCTATGATGATGTGGATGTGTTGGTTCCGCAGTTTATCACTTCTTTTGAAGGTAGGGGAGTGGGGAGCTTCACGGGGGATAGATGTGGACTTAATATCGATTTAAGGAGAATTAGCTGTGGCCGGTATTATAAGAGCCGCACCCTTTTGTAGATTCCATACGGTACCTCAATCGAACTACCACAATTTTCCAGGTATGACTGGAGAAGTGGTCATCTCCACCAACCTCACCCGTATGTCCATTTTTCAACTTTACGGTCTCAATGCCCAATATGATCAAGCCGCCTATATCAACTTCACCTTTATCAACGATAAAATGGTACTCACAAAACTTATACCAGCCACAAGCCCCTCACAATCTTTCAGAGCGTTTCCGTATTCTACAAAGACGAGGCGACAACAGTTTGGCACTTTTATGGATACTCTCGACCGTTGGATACTCCGATTTGTGGATTTCTTGGGAAATCTTGCCCCGTTTCTTTTTGGGAGCAATATCGGATTTTGATAGTGGTGGCCATTATTCTGATATTGCTTCTCATGGTTTTAATCCTTGTCGGATGCTGCTGTATGATAAGTAGTCGACGAGCAGAGCAAGAAAGAATAAATTCCGAGTGGCAAATCCCATTTTTGAAGTTGTTGGAGCCAGAAAAGCGTCAAAGAGCACATGGAGCAAGTAAAAGATCTCTTCAATCAGCACCTTCTACTGCAACCGGGGATAGTCGGCTGACAGCAATCAGTGACTTCTGTGAGAACTACACGATAATGGTTTACGAGAAGGATATGGTGTTGACTGCCAAGCATCAGTATACGCATTTGACAAAGGCAGATATGGAAAGATTCGTGAAATTGAGAACTTTGGAGCATGAGAATTTGAATAAATTCATTGGATTGTCAATTGACAGCTCTCATTTTATTGCTGTATCCAAGCTGTGCTCCAGAGGATCTTTACAAGATATTTTGTCGAGAGGGAACTTTTCGATGGATTACTTTTTTATGTTCTGTATCATACGGGATGTGGCAAAGGTAATTGAGATTTTTTTTGAACCTCTAACTAAAGTCCACTATTACAGGGAATGGATTATCTCCACAAAAGTTTCCTGCGACTCCATGGAAATCTCCGTTCTGCCACCTGCCTTGTAAATGACAGTTGGCAAGTGAAACTCGCTGAATATGGCTTGGACAACCTTGACGAAGAACAAACCCCTCCTAAAAAAAGATTACTATGGGTTGCTCCAGAAGTTCTTCGTGGATCTTTAAGTGTTAGTCAGATGGATTCCTCTGCTGATGTTTACTCATTTGCTATCATTGCATCGGAGATTTTAACGAGGAAGGAGGCATGGGACT